CATATTCATTGCAGCATTGTTTGTAAAAGAAAATAGGCTGGGTGCAGTGGCTCACGCCTGTAATCCCAGCACTTTGGGAGGCCGAGGTGGGCAGATCACAAGGTCAAGAGATCAAGATGATCCTGGCCAGCATGGTGAAACCCCATCTCTACTAAAAATATAACTCCTAGGTTCAAGCAATTCTTATGCCTCAGCCTCCCGAGTAGCTGAGACTACAGGTACCTGCCACCATACCTGGCCAACTTTTGTATTTTTAGTAGAGATATGTTTTACCAGGTTGGCCTTGAACTCCTGACCTCAAGTGATCCACCACCCACCCCCTTTGGCTTCCCAAAGTGCTGGGACTGCCCTTTGGGAAGCCAAGGGTGGGGTGGATCACTTGAGGTCAGGAGTTCGAGAGCCACTGTGCCTGGCCTAAGCTTCTGTGCCCAGCCATTTTTTAAAAAACATTTTTATTTTGTGTAGAGACAGGATCTCACTATGTTGCCCATGCTGGACTTCTTGGGCCCAAGCAGTCGTCCTGCCTTGGCCTCCAAAGGTACTGGAATTTCTAAGGGCATGAGCCACTATGCCTAGCATTATATTTTCTTAAAATTTATTTATTTTTGAGACAGTGTCTCGCTCTGTTGCCCAGGCTGAGTGCAGTGACGCAATCTCTGCTCACTGCAGTCTCCACCTCCTGGGTTCAATTGATTCTCCTGCCTCAGCATCCCAAGTAGCTGGTGCTACAGGCGTGCATCACCACAGCCAGCTAATTTTTGTATTTTTAGTAGAGCCAGGGTTTCACCATGTTGGCCAGGTCCGTTTCGAACTCCTGACCTCAGGCAATTCACCCACCTCAGCCTTCCAAAGTGTTGGGATGAGCCACTGCGCTTGGCCAAAATTTATTTTTTAGCATTACTTTTGTGTATACTTTTTACTCTAGAGTTATTTTGTTTTCCAACAGAGGCCATTTTTCCATTAGTAATTTCTCATTGACGTAGAATATTACCTTATTATAAACTAAATTTCCATATATGCTAGTCTTTTTGTGGACTTTTTTCTGTCCCAGTGATCTATTTGTCTATCCCTGTGTCAGTAGAACAGTTTTAATTACTATCATTTTTTGTTTTTGAGACAGGGTATCACTTTGTCACCCAGGCTGCATTGCAGTGGCATGATCTTGGCTCACTGCAACCTCCGCCTCCCGGGTTCAAGCGATCCTTGCGATTCGGCCTCCCGAATAGCTGGGACTGCAGGTGTGTGCCACCACACCCAGCTAATTTTTTCCATTTTTAGTAAAGATGGGATTTCGCCACTTTGCCCAGGCTGGTCTCAAACTACTGGGCTCAAGCGATCTGCCTGCCTTGGCCTCCCAAAGTGCTAAGATTACAGGCGTGAGCCCCCACACCTGGCCTACTGTCATGTGTTAATAAAACCTTTAAGAGCTAGTTAAGGCAACTTTCTCTTCTCCCCCTTGTTCTTTTGAAAAAAATATATGGCTATTCTTGCAGTTACTTTCCTGGGAACTTTAGAATCTATTTGGTTCTGTAAACAAACAACTAACCTCTGTTGATGTTCTTAGAATAACACCAAATTTACAATATTGGGTCCTAAATTGAATCCAAAGATGTACTCTCTGGTCAGGGATTTTAAGTGACAAAAAGAGAAACACTATCTAAAGACTTAAGGTTGGCCAGGCACGGTGGCTCATGCCTGTAATCCTAGCACTTTGGGAGGCCTAGGTGGGTGGATCACCTGAGGTCAGGAGTTCAAGACCAGCCTGGCCATCATGATGAAACCTCATCTTTATTTAAAAAAAAAAAAAGAAAAAAGAAAAAAAAAAGACCTAAGGTCGTATTCTGGTGATGAGCATTGTTTAGAAAGGTTCTTAGGCTTAGTCTTTTTGCTCAGCCTAGGTGTATCTAGGAACCTCACTCCACCCTGGAGATCTATACTTACCCTATTCTTCCCTAAAATAGGAAGTAATGAACTTCCTTGATGCCCTTCTATTCTCTCAGCTAGTTTGGTTAAAGTGACTTTGGGCTCATAGTTTGTACAACCACTATGAATTTTTAAATAGAAGGTAGCAAAAGCACCTAACTTTAGGTATGTATTATAACTTTGAAGTAGCCTTATCTCACTAACAAACTACAGGCAGAAGAAACACTTAATTTCACTTTCTATTTCAGAGGAATTCTTCAGTTGGATAAAGTGAATGTCATACCTGTGACGGCTGTCAACTTATATCCAGATGGTCTTGAGAAAACAGCTGAAAACCTTGAAGATAGAACATGTATTTAAAATCCCATCTCATATCATGGACACTGAATTAGTCTATTGCCTCCAAATTTGCCAGTTGAATATAATTTTCTTTAAATTGTTAAGAATCAGTTTATATACTAGAGAAATTGCTAAACTTCTAAGACTGCCTGAAAATTGACCTTTACAGTGCCAAGCTAAAGTTTACCTTATTCTCGACCAGGCGCAGTGGCTCACACCTATAATCCCAGCACTTTTGGGAGGCCAAGGCGGGCAGATCACGAGATCAGGAGATCAAGACGATCCTGGCCAACATGGTGAAAGCCCATCTCTACTAAATACAAAAATTACCGGGCATGGCAGCTCGTGCCTGTAGCCCCAGCTACTCGGGAGGCTGAGGCAGAATTGCTTGAACCTGGGAGGCTGAGGCTGCAGTGAGCTGAGATTGCGCCATTGCACTCTAGTCAAGGTGACAGAGCAAGACTCTCTCAAAAAAAAAAAAAAAAAAAGTTTACCTTATTCTCTAAAAGGGCTGGCTATTCATATGATGAATTGTGAAGGAAAACTTAAAGTGGAAGATAAGACATGTGAAGAGACTTCGAAATTACCAAAAGGAAAAAAAAGGCCAGACAAAATCTCTTGTGCCAGGAACTTTTCAAGGTGCCTTTGTTAAGGAAATTATATCCACTTAATTAATATATAAGACTTTATGAAAAGCACTTTATAAAATTCTAATTTAAAAGCTCAAGAACTTAACACTTATTTTTTTATTCAGTACAATGTGCCTTTATATTGTGAGACTCAGTATAAAATCCCTGCAGCATATCATGATTTGACTGTATCCTGTACCAAGACTACTTACCTTGAATGGTCCAAGATTTAAAAGTAGTATGAAATGTTCTCACTCTAAAATAAACTTTATTTGAGGAAAAAAGTATAGCCGTTTTGGTTACACTGGTATAAAACCTTTACCCAGGTAAGAATGGCCGAGATGCAGGAATAGGTTTACTTTCATTTACACTGGCTGAAACCATGGCTCAAATCAAATGAGTCCATTGATACCATGAATTAGACTGTGCCCTTGTTCTTGTGGTTCTAGATATAGTGCTGTTTACCCTACAAGTGTTTTATTACCTTTTTAACCCTCACTCATATTGACATATTAATATTTTACAATGTGACCTAATACATACAATTATGTGATACTTTCTGTTGTTTCATTTAAAAAATTTTTTTACTACAGCCCATCATTTGAAAACATTGTCCAAGAAAGTAACGGTTTTTTTGTTTTTGAGACAGAGTTTTGCTCACTGCCCAGGCTGGAGTGCAATGGCACAATCTCAGCTCACTGTAACCTCCGCCTCCCAGGTTCAAGCGATTCTCCTGCCCCAGCTGCCTGACTAGCTTGGATTACAGCCACCCACCACCATGTCCAGCTAATTTTTAGTAGAGACTGGGTTTCACTGTGTCGGCCAGGCTGGTCTCAAACTCCTGACCTCAGGTGATCCAACCACCTAGGTCTCCCAAAGTGTTGGGATTATAGGCATGAGCTACCGCACCCAGCCATGATTGTTTTTTTGAGACCACTTTATATTTAGGCCAAATAGATACGTGTGTGGTAGGGGTGGAGAGGATGACAAATAGTAGAATGAAGGAGTGATGTTTCATTTTACCAGACTTTAATTATTACATTGCATGGAGTTCTATTATTCCTACCCTCATATTGCTGAAAAAAATATCCTGCAACTTATAATTTGATCCTAGAGTTACCAGCTAGTAACACTTTTTCTTTACACCCTTTTTCTTTCCCTAAGTTATTAGCACCAGTTCTAACTCCAAACGATGACATAATCTTATTTTATCTAGTGTCCGTAAGCTTACGGATTTTAGTGAAGAAGAAAATAGGAGGCTTTGCAGTTAGCAGATCCCTATCCTGGCTTGTCTTTCTCAGTAAGACTTGGGACCATAGCAAGGTCCACAGTCTCCTGAAGCTGTTTTCTATGGCTGGGATAATGTAGTAAGTTATTTTCTTCTAAGTAGTCACACATGGAAATCTTATCTAAAATTTTATACCATTAAATTTTATTTCACTTACTAACTTAAACCATTAACTATCATTGTAGCCATGTTTAGTATGCATGAGTTAATGAGTGAGTTTGATTAGAGGTTTGGAAATGCCTGTTTGCCTGTAGTGCAGTCTCTTATGTAGACAAAATAAAAGTCAGGTAAGACTTATTTTTTCTTTTAAAATGCAAAGTAAAATGTGTCTTTAAAACTCTCCCAGGAAGAGAAGGGAAGCTACCATAACACTAAGTGAGAAGGAAGATATATTGGGCCTGGCTTATGTTTTAATTAGGTACTTGTGTAAAAATGTTGAGGGATTTTCAGTTATCCACTGGCATCTAGAGGCAGCGGGTAAAGTTAACTGGAGCTAGAGCCAATCTTATTCTCCCTAGAAGGAGTAAGAGCAGCAAAGGAGAGAAGATGCTAAATTAGAAGTACATATAAAGACAGCTTTCCTAGGCCCTGAATCAAGACAGGTGGTGGTTTGCCATTGGAGCTGTTGGTTTCAAGTAAGAGCCAAGATTGATGTCTTTCTTACGGTCCGTTGGCTAATCCTAATGTGAATGGCCAATTTAGTTGGAAGAAACAGTCTTGAAAAAAATAGAAAAAGCAAAGAAGAAAAGAAAAGACATTCCAAGCTAAGTAACATTTGTGGTTAGTGAGATAGAAATCTGGTTATGCTAAAGTAAAACAGATTTTCAGCTTAAAAATATTGCCTTTATTCAGAATCATAAGGGTTTAAAAAAATCTTACCATTATGCAAGTTTAAAAAAATATAGCACTCAGTGCAATGAATTACTACATTTAATTAGTAATTAAAACACATAAGGCACATTTCTCACAGTTTACATGTGAGAATTTAGCATGATCCAAACTCAAATATCCACTTCTCGTATCTCTCAATATCTGCAGCAGACACTGACTTAGAAACCTTTTTTAAAGCCATTTCGAAATCCTCCATGGTTGTAGGCATGTGCATTTCTTCTTTGGAAAGATTGCGGATTTCCTCTGGAGTCAAACCTTCAATGCGCCTTCTCATTGCCATCAAGGACGCATCCCTAGGTTTTAAGTTAAAAACAACAACAACAAAAACAACACACAAAGTGTTACTTTGGTTAAATGAAAACCTGTTAATAGAAAAATTTTCAGTGGATCTGTTGTAGCATTCTCTGTGTTATACACATATATATTTAGTATTGCATAGAAGCTTGTTGGAATCCAAAGCCTGTTGTTTTTTTTTAAGCAGTTAAATCTTCTATGATGAAATAGAATGCTAATCAATCTAATACTGAATATAAAACCCCAGAAAAAGTAAAAGGGGTGTTAAAGAAGCTAGCAATTAGTTTCATTATAAGTATTCAATAAAATGAATTAGTATCACAGAGTCAGAAGAGAACCAATTAACAAGAAAATTAAATATTTTCTCCATGTAGAGGAAAAGCTAGGTAAGTTCAGTGTTTTCTCCTTTTCTCCTCTATTTGTACTTTTTAAAAAAACACACACATTCAGATACCTCTTTCCTTTGACCAAGTTTCATCCTTAGTAGCAGCCACCATTTATGCAAAGGGACAGCAATATAGTTGCTTGATGTATACAGGTTAGTTTTAATCCTCAGAACTCTGTGGTGTGCTCACTTCAGAGATGAGGAAATGAGCACAGTCAAGCCTTGGTTAATTATCTCCACTAACACTTAGATTAGGACAAAACGTGGTCGAACCAGCTGGATTAAAGACAAAGTCTTTTTTTCTTTTTACTGGTATTCCTATCACATTTAGAATAAGTTCACTGTGAATGAGACTGTACTCAGCATATACCAAGTCAAATATTTCACGATCATTTCCTATTTTAATTATAGTGAACAAAAGGTACCAATTATTTTTTAAATCCAAGACAATTATTGATTTTCCGTTTTGCACAAATTATCCTAACATTAGCTTCTTGAACTTTTAGCTTTCAAATGAACTGTAGACTCTTCACTAACATGAAAGATGCCCAGATAGCTTACCAGCACCTGCTAACACCAACAAAACCAGAATTTGTGACTGACTACAAAATATAATGTGGGACTGGGCACAGTGGCTCATGCTTGTAATCCCAGCACTTTGGGAGGCCGAGGCAGGTGGATAACTTGAGGTCAGGAGTTCAAGACCAGCCTGGCCAATACAGTGAAACCCCATCTCCACTAAAAATAAAAAAATTAGTGGTGTGGTGGCACGTGCCTGTAATCCCAGCTACTTGTGAGGCTAAGGCACAAGAATCACTTGAACCCAGGAGGCAGAGGTTGCAGTGAGCTTAGATCACGCCACTGCACTCCAGCCTGGGTGAAAGCGAGAGTCCATCTCAAAAAAGGAAAGAAAAAAACACTGTAATGTGGGTCTTGAGATTCATCTTTTTTTTTTTGACACAGGGTCTTGCTCTGTTGCCCAGGCTGGGGTGCGATGGCACAATCATGGGTTGCTGCAGCCTCAAACTCCTGGGCTTAACCACAGGTGGGCACCACCATGCCCGGCTAATTTTTAAAAATTTTTCATGGAGATGTTGCCCAGGCCAGTCAAATTCCTGGGCTCAAGTGATCTCTCGCTTGGCCTCTCAAGGTGCTGAGATTACAGGTGTGAGCCACTGAGCCTAGCATATTGATCTAAATTCAGCATAAGAACGTCACCTCAGAGGATCACTTGAGCCTAGGAGTTTCAGGCTGTAGTGAGCTGTGACTGCGGCTCTACTCCGCAGTTTGGGCAACAGAGCGAGACTGTCTCAAAAACCAAAAAAACTTATTATTAGTTTATGCCTACAAAAACCTGTGCTCCCATAACTTCCATAATAATGCATACCTGCACACGTTGGTAATATCCGCACCTGAATAACCTTCCATGTTTTCTGCTATACTTGCAAGGTCAACATCATCAGCCAATTCCAGCTCACGTAGACTTATTCGTAAAAGCTCCTCCCTGCCTTTTGCTAATGGTGGAAACAAATTTCAAAATTAAGCCTATGGCATAAACATAGTATACTGTTGTCTCGAATCTTTTTGTGTGTGAGTTGTTTTCCAGTAAGAATTGGATCTCTAAGATCATTTCTTAATTCAAGAGCCATTCTTTACTTTTTAATTGCCTACTATTTAATATTAAGGCATATAGCCAAACTAGTACTGTAAGGGGAAGATACTCCTCATGTGTATCTTCCGGAAAGTTAGTAAATACCAAATTTTTAATTCTCTAAACAAAACTACTTGAAAGTTAACAGACTTCCTAACACGATTTAAAGGAAGATACCTGATGGCAAAGGAATATAGATTCGTTTCTCAAGACGTCGTCTTAAAGCCTCATCTATATCCCAGGGAAAATTAGTAGCTGCCAGAACCATAACCATTTTGGAGGGGTCATCATTTTCAGAAGCACCTCCAACACCTAAAATAAAGGTAAGGAGAGAGTGAAAAAGATACTAAGTTGGATTATACCAAATAAAGCTCAGCTATTTAAAGATCATCAAATATTTAGCACGACAATAAAAGGTGGCATAGTCTTCAAGCCCCCTTAAGACTTAGAAAGGTAACTGGTACATACATAATTTTGTAATCCAAAGAAAATAAGTTCTGTAATATGCAAACATGACTCAAAATAGATTTAATCAAAAAACCAGCTCAACTACTTAACAATTTTAAATCTTTATCAAAGCGTATGTAAACTCTAAGGCCAATTTATCTGCATTTCTTTCTATTTCAATTTCATTGCTAAAGTAAGATAGTTGTATGTACCAAAAGAAAGTTGTATATACCCTGTGAGTGGCCATTATTTCTGACTTGTCACCACTGTCAGTGTACCAGATCTATTACTATCAATCTCAGGAACTCCTTGCCACCCCCTCTAGTCCATCTGAAGTTATGAATACCTATTTAAAGCCTTGGATTTAGCACTATGAGTAAAGCTTGACCCACTGGAGCTGGAGATGCCACACCTAACCACCTCTTGCCCCAGGTCAACTCATGCTAAACACATCATGGATACCATCCATTTGAACCAGCAGCTCTGCTTTCACCCTTCTGCTTGCTTCATGTTCTTCAGAAGTCCCTCGGCGACTACAAATGGAGTCTATCTCATCAATAAATATGGTGGCTGGAGAATAAAACCGAGCCTAAAGGAAGAAACCATGCAATACCAAGCTATTATTTCATTTTAAAATAATCTATAGGTTAGCAATCAGAAAATAGCTGAGGGAGGCTGGGCACAGTGGCTCACGCCTGTAATCCCAGCACTTTGGGAGGCCAAGGTGGGCAGATCGTTTGAGGTCGGGAGTTTGAGACCAGCCTGATCAACATGGAGAAACCCCCTCTCCATTAAAAATATAAAATTAGCCAGGCATGATAGCGCATCCCTGAAATTCCCAACTACTCAGAAGGCTGAGGCAGGAGAATCACTTGAACCCAGAGGCAGAGGTTGTAGTGAACCAAGATAGCACCATTACACCCCAGCCTGGGCAGCAAAAGCAAAACTCCATCTCAAAACAAAAAAAAAAGGCCGGGCGCGGTGGCTCAAGCCTGTAATCCCAGCACTGTGGGAGGCCGAGGCGGGTGGATCACGAGGTCAAGAGATCGAGACCATCCTGGT